CCTCAGTCCTCAGTCTCCAGAGTGCTGGGATTGCAGGCATGCGTCACCGTGCCCAGCTGAATTTTTTTTGTCTTATAATATATGGGATGTCTTTTTCAGATCTGTGTAAACATTTTTTCAATTAAAAAAGTTTCAAGGTTTAAGGAACCTATAAAAGCCATTTACTTACTACTTAGATTAAAAAAGTGTTTATTTTATATAATAAAGAATAACTAACATTCCTTAAAGTAAACTGACATTTATCTTAAGGTAAATTTCTTTTTTTCTGATCCTTCCACCCATACTGAAATAGATCACATGCTTTGTGGGGTGGAAGATCTATTTGTATTGTTTTCAACTTGGTCTTGGACACTGATGTCCAGGCTCTTGCTGAAAACCACTGTCAGGTATCCTGGACAGGGTTTGGATCATGGACTGACTTGTGAAAATGGAGGCTTATTTTCTGAATTATTCTAAAAAGCCATTTTAAAATCGTAATTGGAACTTTACCTGAGCTTATTAATCATAATTGTTCTATAACAGCTTATGTTTTTATGAGGGAGTATGCCTCATGGTACATAAAACAAAATGAATAATGAAATAAAAATAGTTTTTTGGTTGAGGGTGCTTCTATTTATGCTTTTATTATGTAATTTAAAGAATTTTAAGTTTTGAGTTTTTTCCTGCTTTTGCAACTATATCAGGTGTTACCACATGTAAGGGAAAACTCACTGTTAATGTTAGACGTGGTTTTTGCTGTTTTTAGGATACACATTATTATGTAGGATTCGAAGATATTATTGGTTCCCTTCAACATGATGTCGCTGATATTAAGAAACAGGCTGAAATTGCTCGCTCGTATATTGCATCTCTTGCTGATCCCCAGGAAGCTATTGCTTGTTTGCAACTAAAGTTTAATCAAGTTCAAACTGAATTAGCTAAAACCGAAGAAGAATTAATCAAAACCAAAGAAGAGTTAAAAAAAAGAGAAAATGGTAAGTGATGAATTTTACCCTTAGTTAGGATAAACACATAAAAGGTATAGTTGGTAAGTGTAAGAGATCTATATAGTTTATTTACCATAGTGACCAGAAAATTCTTTACTGTGGGTGTAACATACTTTAATATTTTAATATTTGTATTACTGTAGTAATTTACTGCTAAAATTCTTTTACCTTCATTTACTTTTAAATCAGTATTATTAGAAAAACTTCAAAACCTGAATATTAATTTTATAAGTAAATATAAGAAATTTCTTAGGAAATTGTAAAGGAGTAGATTTATGAACTCTTACAGTGTAGATTTTTTTCCTGGGCTTATAAGATTTGGGATAGAGTAACTTTTACGGAGTGGCTTAAAACAGTCTGTCAGATTAGAGTAGATATATTAATGGTTCTGGGCTGAGGATTTTGCTCAGTGGTTCCGCTGCCTGCTTTGCAAGTGCAAGGACCTGAGTTCGATCCCCGGTACAAAAATGTGTGTGTGTGTGTGTGTGTGTGTGTGTGTGTGTGTGTGT